TTTAAAGCCGAGAGCCAACACAAACACATAACAGGGTCAGTCAAAAAGTCCTGAGACAGTTGTTATTTCAACAGCGTCAAATATTATAACCAGACTGGATAAACGTCTCTCCGGCATTTTCCGGAGCTTTGACAGTTTTATGGCTATAAATTAGAAGTTATGAGCTTTGGGCCATGTTATGTTTTATGTTTTTTATGATCGAGCTTTTCAATCCTCAAAGTGAAAAGTACTAAATCAGAGCAAACCTCAGATTATTGCCCAAACATTACCGGAAACATGTTTGTAGCATTGAAAGTTTGCGACATGTTTTAATCCAACTCCAGCTGATTTCTTTACTTTTCTAAAACCTGGAATGTTTAGAAAAACGTATACAACGCAACGCAATGTAAAACAGCCTTTAACTAAAGAATTCTACGCCTTGACGAGTTTTTAGACTCAAATTAGCTAGGCTACTTTTTTCTCAGAACTTTTTGACCCAGGTGACGCTACTTTGTTTTTCTAATTTTCTCAGAACTTTTTGACCCAGGTGATTTGTCATGCTGTATACAGCTGATGTTTGCTTGGGTGTGTGATGATAAACATACCAGTCGGTCCATGGCTTTCTTTGCTGGCAAAGTTGCCCATACTGGATCAACAGGGTCGGGGGTCTCAGGTGTGACCAGCAGGCAGGTGTCGGGGTTGGTTTTGGGTTTTTTTTAGTCTTCCACCCAACAAAGTTTAACTGTGGAACAGTACAGAACCAGAAACATAACAGGAAAAAAACTTTAGTGACAGTTTAAAACATAACTCAGTTGGTTTATTGTGAACACTTTTTTATTATTATAACTTGTCTAGTGACTGAGAGAAGACATGGTCGCGACCCAGATCTAGAAACATGTCACCATTGGGTCACTATAAAACCATATCTACAGGAAAATCAGTTTTCAGCCTGAGTCATTATGTACACAACTGAACAAACAAGAGCAACGGAAAGTACAACAAATCACACCAAGCACAGGTGGGAACAATGACCACATGGGCCAAATAAACTGTTGGCATCATGTCAACTTTACAACATATCTGAGTCAGATAAGAATAAAAAAAAGGGACCGCGAACCCTTAACCGACATTTTTGTGACGTTTTTTAAAAACGTGACAATGTCTTTCCAGCGAAATTAACTCGTCAAGTGAACCGTTACGACTTAAAAGATCTCGAGCCATGAAAGTTTCTACAATGTTCGATAGCAGTGCGTAAAATAATTGCTATGGGAAATGAGAAAGTAATACTCGAACACGAAGCGACTTAAGGTCCACAACTTTAACAGAACATTCAACAAAAGTGGCAACAAACTAAGAAGAAGAAAAAAATAACCAGTCCCAGACCTTTCGCTGCGACTTTGCTGAACTCCTCGTATCCACGCTGTGCTTCCTCCGGTGCTGCTGAGCCCCACAAGCACTGCTGCTCCTCCGCTGCTCCTCACCGTGGGGAGACAGGAGGCTCCGGCTGCTAGCAACGTGCAACTAACTACACGTCCTCCGAACAAAGGTTAGCGCCATTTTACGGCCTGTATCTGTAAACAAACTATAAATACTGATAACATAACAGATCACTAGTCTTAAACAGCGACATGCAGCAAACTCCCAAACGGAGGATGGCTGTCAGTTGTTGACTTTGTCCACTAGAGGGCACTGTGAGGCTGCTTCAAGGAAAACCTGTTGCCTCTGGGATGTTGTTGTGGGTGGCCCGCCTCACTTCATTGCTGATTCTCACAGGCTGTTGATTCAAGGACCTCCGATGTCACAGTAGCTTAATTTGGTTACGATCAATTAGACGAATCAAATGTAAATGGGAAATGTTCCACTCACATACCGTGACTGAATGAAGAAATGACACATACGCAACTTCCTGCTGGGCCAGGGTTAGCCTACGGCTCTGTTTGTTTTAAGTAAAAAAAAAAAAAAACATTCTAATTTATTTTAGTGACGAAAACGCAAACACCAATGACCAATAAGCTACAAATTCGTTAATGTACTCGATTAGAAATTAAATATTATACCAAAAGTAAAAAAAAACATTAGTACCTAAAGAATATTAAGACCTTGGCTAATGATAGCAAGGCATGAAATAAACAGGACTAATCTGAGTTCGTTAAACATTTGCCTACAAAAAAATAAAAGCAGGTCAACAATTTAAGGTGAAAAATAGCTATCATATACTTAGCATTAATAAACATAGTTCAACTTTGTATAAAATATAATAACAAAACATTTGGTCAGACATATTCAAGTGTTACCAGAGATGCTAAAGAAATGCTAGCAAAAAATAGGTTAGCATTGAATTGCTGAGAATAAGTGAAAACATCTCAGTTTGCCAAAAATAAAAGGAAGGGGAAAAAAAGTAACTAAAAGTAAGGATTAAAAAATAAATTAAAATCCTGATCATAAGCCATTAAAAATAATTCCAAGAATCTACAGATAGATAGATATACACATACATAAATATACACATATATACAAATACATATATACAATGCATATTTTTTACACACATATATTTTTATTTATATATATATATTTTTTACACATACAAACACACATATATTTATATTTATATATATATAATGCATACAAAATATACTATAGTAAGCACAAATCCACAAAACCAGTTTTTACCTACAACATTTACGCCTTGGCACCAAACACAATAACTTTATTGTTTTATGCTCTGTATAAACACAGAGTCCAAGGTTTGGCCGAGGTGCCACACAGAGAGGAGTGTTTGCAGAGGCTTTTATTTTTAATTTCCTGCAAACTCCACTGCATTTAATATTAACTACAATGCTAACAGAACAAATCTCTCCTCGCATCGACTGGCTGGAGTTTGCAGACGGCGGACGGCGGTGGGGTTTTATTGGACGAGCGTTGTTGTGTGAAAGCCAAGGAAGACAGAAAGAACACGGAATAGTACTATGGTTTTGACCCGTCCTCTCTATTTCATTCCACCGTGTTTCCAGATTGTCTGTCTGTCAGTACACTGTCCTGGCTGTTCTATCTCATAAACAGTATAAAATGCTGAGTGAAAGCGGACGTTTTTGCTGCAGGGGAGGGGACACGCTTTACCTCACTCAAGATCAATAGGTTTTCACAACGCTGTGTACTCGCCGTGTACTGCAGTAGAGAATCCATCAAATGCAGTCAGGTGTATTACACAACACCCAACGCATACTTTCACTGCTGTCTGCATAAATTGAACTGCATTGACTGGTTAACGCTGTAGTATTTTAAAACATGTGGTTGTTAAAGCCACAGTTCTTCACACCTCATCGTCCTCTGGTATTTGAACAACAGCAGCATCCAGATATTTTTTGGGACACAGTCATGCTGCCATAATGGAACTGTTCATGGATCAAGAGTCCAAAGTGATGAACTGTTTAGACCCCGATGCCAGTTGGAGCCTGTAGCTCCCTCTGCTGAGTGCATTATGACACTTTTGTTAGTGAATTACTGCACCGACTGACTGCGCTGCCACTGAGGATTTTACAAACTCCCAACCTGCCACAACTAACCACTGGACTAATGTGTCAGACCTGGCAGATGGCTTTGAAACAATCATATAAAAAAAAAA